AAAGACAGAAAAGGGCAAGGGGGAAAAAGACAGAATAAAAAAGGCAGAAAAGGACAAAAAAAGACGTCCTTTTCATCAGAAAAGGACGTCATTTTTTTTTTTAATTTATTAAAATAAATATTTTAAGAAGATATACATTAATAATTAATAACAGGATATACATTATTCTAATTTGATAATTTTATTTATTTGGTTGCTTGTTTTCTTTAAACTTACAATTCCACAATATGTTTTTATTGGAATTATCATGGAGATATAATATTTTTTGCTGCGTCCATTGTCAGCAGATGATGCATTTTCTTCATCAAGTAAAGACAGGAAGCTGCCTTTTTAAACGAGTTATTGAAATTTTGTGTTAAATTAAAGTGGCTGTCTATAATTACTCCTAGATATTTATAAGCGTTACTTTGATGGTATTTTTGTATTGTTGAAAACCAAATCTAAATATTTTGATAAAGTTGATAATTGCTTAGGTGCCCCAAAGTATCACAGATTGTGTTTTACCACTACTTAGGTTAAATCATTTTCTTCAAAAAATATTGAAATTGAGTTTATTAAATCATTTTCTTCAAAAAATTAAGATTAAATCATTTTCTTCAAAAAATATTGAAATTGAGTTTATATCGTCATTCATACGTTTTTCGATGGTACTAAAATCATTGCTGGCATAGTGTATCACTACATCGTCACCAAATTCAATGTCATCGCAGTAATATAGAAATTCTTTTAAGTTATTAAAATAATTCAAAAATATTAATGGACCAAGAATAGAGTCACCGGTTGTTTATTAGATAGCTCATTGTGATACTTGATAAGTTGGTAACGCCCAAATAAGTAACATTTAAACCACTCTAACTCAGCACCGTCATGTTATAGAATTTTTTTATTTTAATTTAAATATCATGGATAATTATGTAACAAATTCATATAGGTCTGCAAAGGGGACAATCCTCAATAATTAAAAACAGATTATAACGAGCTATCAAAAGGTAAGAATAAATGCGATTGGGTTTAACTGATGCACAAAACAACTTGAATACAACAGAGACGTTTATACAGCATTACACAATTCAAAAGTGTTAGTATTAAAAATTAATGGTGATAAAGCATCACTATTAGGTGACGCTACTTAGAACGTTTGTATCGTTCAGTACAACATTTTGTAGAAAATATAAAACTGAGGAGGTACTTTAATATTTAAAAAAGTATCAATCAACTAAATATAGATACATTTGTATCTGATTATCAAACCATTCTTCCATATAGTCTAACAGATAATCTTCTGATAAACAAAAAAAAATCTAAAAAAGTCAAAAGGAAGAGAGTACAGACAACTATACAATCTAACTTTCTATCAAAAAGGGGTTGAATTGCGTCATTTATAAGCAGAATTGAGTTTAAAACGTACATGCTAGATGGTATTCAACACTCATTGCAGATAACATTGATAGTGAATAAATTAAAAAAAAACCTATGTATCAAAAATGAAATCAACTGCACAAATGCATTTGCCGTTATTGAGAGACATACTTAGTACATCTGATGTGACTCTTAAAATTGAATATGAACAGTTTTCCATCATGTCTTCGTTTCAAGAGGTTGGGTAAGTTCTACGTATAAAAACCCTTACAGATTTTCTTATGCTAAAAGTTCCTTTCTGTATAAATAACTCATGGTAGGTTCACAAACAAGTAAAAAAAATGAGTCCAGAACGGGTCACGAAGTTACTTCGTCATTTCTCGACCCTTAGTCAAATCTACTTTGCTGCAGATTAAACCTTTGTTTTCAAGATGGTCCCAAAATTGAAAAAAAGATCATTAAAAGAACAATTAGAAACAGCTAGCAATCAGCCAGTTGTCAAAGAAGAACTGAACAATAGACACAATTATTATATTGATGATGGTAAAAATGTTAAAAATAACAATCAAGATGATGAAAATGAATTTAGAATGACAATGCAAGAATAGGCAAAAATTTTACTCTATATTATATTATAACAGCATTTAAAATATTATACTGACACAGTTAGTTCAAGATTTTAAGGGTTATGTAGGATTGTTATAAATTCGTATAACATTTCAATCTAAATCTAGATGTATATTATATTTTATATACTTTTCTAATATAAAGAATGCGTAAAAAAAAGTCCTAATAAATATGATATTTATATCAAAATGAACATTATTATTCACAACTTGTCAGAAACATAATAGGCACTCTTTTTAACATAAGCAAAATGAAGGAAACTGTTTTACTAACGCGTAGTATGTATTTTGCCATACTAGATAACATTTTTCAGATTAATTAGTCATGCTTCTGTGGCAAAATTTATTTCTCATTATTGATAAATAACTTTTGCCACAGAAAGCATGAAAAACTCTCTCGTAGATCAGGGTATTCAAAAGCTTTCTATTTAAATATTTCTAGGCAGCACTTTGATACTTTTAATTTTCGGAAAGACTTATTAAGCAATAAATCTTTTCCTCAATTTCTTGAATTCCCAATTAGTATTTAAGTCTTTAATCAACAGAGTTGTGGTCGCATTTAATACAATAATTTACCTTCTGACAATTAAAATGGCTTTTAATCTTACTGTTCAACTGCTGATTAACGGTAACAATTATACGTTTTTGTGTGTGTGGGTGGTCATTTGATAAAAACAAATTTTGGCTTTTGCTAATAATATATTTAAAGTTTTCAAAAGTCGGAAATTCTGTTTTTTTTTTCTATTAGCTCTTCGTATGGTTTTATTTTCAATTGTAGCATTAAATTTATCCTTGTTTTTCATTAACATTGGCACAACCTCAGTTTTTAAACTTAGGTAATCTCAAAAAACTTAGGTAATTTTCAACTAACAATCTAATATTAACACAATTTTTGAAAACTCTTATGGCAAACTTGTTTTTCCCTCACTCTTTCTCGGTTTTAAGTAATTTTTAATTAACTTATCGAAGTAATATTGTTAGGTATAACAATATAACGTCCACATTAAAAGAAACGTAAAAAGGTTGACGCTTTTTTCAGAAGATTTTACTTTATCAATGCTGTATGATATTTCTTAACCACAAAGATAAAAAAACTTATTATTTTAGCAAAAATCAAAATATCGATAAAAACTTTGATGTTGGTTTCATTTTGAATTTACTATATAAAAAACTTAAACAAATGATAAATAATGATATCTATAAGCATTTTGGAAAGTATAAAACTAAAATTAATATAAGCATTTTAAGTTCACCTTCGGGCGTATACTACTAGTAAGCTCAGGAAATGAAAGGATGCGTGCAATTAATCTTGGCCAAAATCCAATAGGAATATGCGGGAAATCATATCTTCTGGTTATGATTTTTGCATCATCAAAATAACTTAAATTATCTGCTATGAGATTTTTTGGTGAAGAGTTCTGTAACTTTGATGTCACTAAATAATTGTCGTCTGATATTGGTAGCAAAACTTCGAATCGTTGCAACAACCTTAACACAAAAGAAAAATATGCAACAATCTTAATAAATGGAAAAAAAATGTTAATAGATTAAAAAAAATTAACTAGTAGTAAAACTAATTTATTTTTAAATACCGAAAAAATATTTCGACAAAACTTTGAGGAAAAGAAGACTTTGGAAAAAGATGGTCGAATGCATCTGATTTAGACAAGATGCCTCTTTTCGAAATATAAGGGTTAATTTCCTTAATAGTGACAACGCTAGCCATCATTTTACAAAACCATTGTGGATCAATAAAAACAAAGTTTTTTATATCATAAACTGGATCGTTAAAGGTTAGTATCGAACCTAAAAAATGCAAACTTTCCACATTTAAAAAAAATTCACACAACAATGATCAATTTAAACTAAAATTTCATAAAATCTCACCTGTTTCAGTCAGAAACCTCAAGGCTCTGTTGAATTCATCAGTTTCTAGTTGTAATCCATGATCAATTGAATGCTGGTGCAAATGATTTCTACTCAATATAGGGAGTTCCCCAGAGTTGTGCATTGTTTTAGCCTTGTCAAAAATAAAGTTTTCAAGTTTAACATAGCTTTGGGGAACCATCTTTTCTAAAATAGGTTTTCCCTCAAACATAAACTTGCTTATACATTTATAGATTTTCTCTCTGAGAAGTACAATCGTATTATTTTCTTTTGTGCAGTCAACAATCGAAGTATCATGAAACGTTGGAAATCCAGAACTATCCAAAAAATATTTAGTAAATGCATTTAGAGATTGCAAACACTCTTGTGTACACAAATCAGCATGTGTTCCTACTAAAATAACTTTGGATTTAGGAGCTACAACTTGTATATTTAATAACCAAGGAGTAAGCATTTTTAATTCTTCCTCACCTTTACTTGCGTTATAAACTGCTAAGTATAAAGCTCGAGAACTAAGAAAATATCGATGTGTGCTGTAAAAATCCTCTTGGCCAGCAAATTCCCAGGCATTCACTGAAAATGATGGACATTTTGAACTTGTTCTATTAAGAGCCGAACCAGGTGGTTTTAAATCAAAGCTTCTTACTTCAATGCCTACAGTAGCAAGTTTGTTTGGCGAGTGAGCTGTTTTTGAAAGCTGTGAAATAAGAGACGTTTTTCCTCGTCCAGCTAATCCTACTAACATTAACTTTATGCGTCGGTATGGAACAGATTTTTCCAGCTTTGAACGAAAATACAAAACAAGATCTCCGGGTGATCCATTTAAAACAGCAGCACCATGGCGTAAATTCAATCCAGTTAATGGAAACTTATACAATTTGTCTAGTTTACCAATTTCATCTGGTAGAATTTTTAAATGCTTGTTATTACTAACATCAAGTTCGCATAAAGAACTTAATTCTCCAATATAAGGTGGTAAAACTTTGATTTTATTGTTTGAAATAATTAAGTTTGTTATTTTTGGCCAACAAAATTTTGAATCTTTGTTTAAAGGTAATTCTGTTATATCATTATTAGAAAAGTTTAACACTCTAATTTTTTTAGATGACCAGTAATGCAAATCAGGGAGACATGTTAAGGAATTATTTGAGATATCAAGACAGATCAGGGATGGCAAGTCCAAAATAAATTTAGGTAGATAAAATGGACCTTTAGCTTTAATCCTGTTGTGTGACAAATTCAAAATAGAAAGATGGAGCAAAGATGAAGAATTATAATTTGGTAAATCATTTAAAAAGTTATGCGATAAATCTAGTTTCTCTAAAGAAACAAAGCATTCAATGGAACGAGACAGTAATTTAGTCAGTTGGTTAAAACTCAAATTTAATGTTTTTAAAGAAACAAGCTCTCCTGATACCAGCAAGGTTGTAATTTTATTTTTTGACAAAAACAAGTGTTGAAGACATGGAAACTTGTGCAGAACCAATACCGAAAATTTAGTGAGCTGATTGTTACTTATGTCTAGTTTTTGAATCGATTTAGTTATAGGAATCATTTCTGGTTCAATAGTCGATATGTGATTTGACGAAACATCAAGTTCTATAATTTTCTCTAGCTTTAAAAGGCTGTATGGGAGTTGTTTTAAATTGTTATTGGAAGCTCTTAACGATTTTAATGAGTACAATAAAGAACAAAATCTTATTGACAATTCATTTAGTCCATTATTACTTACATCTAACCTCACCAAATTTTTAAAAAAATCATTTAGTGTTAAATTTTTGCTAACTGCTAAATTTTCCAAATCATTTATTTTGTTATTTGAAATATCTAAGTTCAAGATACATTTGTTTATATCAGATTGAATTTGAACTGAAGTAATCTTTTGTGTTTGAATAAGATTTGAAATATCCCGAGGTTTGTTTAAATTGGTATGATCGAGGTATGTTTAAATTGGTATGATCGAGGTATGTTTAAATTGGATCATTACAATATTTAACAAAATCAATATCTGAGTTTTTAGATGAACTTAAATTTCGAGGATCTAAGACGTTAAATGGAAGTCTTGAAACAACTAAAAGTTTAACACTTTTAGTAACGCTTCTATCATTTAACATTTTATTTTTACACAATAATAAAAATTCTGATTCCTCCTTTAAATCTATTTTCAACAATACAGAATCAGATATTGTATCCTTTTTACTTTGTAGTATCGAGGAAAGTAAATACTCTTCCCTCAGATAAGAAATGTTTAATGCACTCCATGTTATAGCCCTATTAACTTCTTCATAACCAATATAGCATAACAATATGCCTACAATGTCATGTAAATTCTTTTCGAGTGCACAATGAAGAGCTTCAGAAATATCAGATGGTTTTAAAGCAAGCAAGTACTCAACAATTTCAATATGATTGTTTGTAACAGCAATACATAGAGCACTTCCCTCGTTAGAAATAAAGTTAAAATCTGCACCCCATTCAACCAGTAGCCTAAAGCATTTCTTAAAACCATAAAAACAAGCACGTTGAAAAACTAAGTTTATGATTTTTTGTTCAAAAGTCAAACTGCTCAAACAAAGTTTTGCAAGTGAAGACAGCATAGGGTCTGAATTCTCAAAAATATTTAATAAAATTTCGAGAACATTACTGGCGATAATAGCCTCGTATTTATCATACGAACAATCACCAAGTAGCAGAGCAAAAGCAACCAATCCTTCTAATTTGATGCTATAATTTTCATTGAACCTGAAATGTTTATAAGTAAAAGAAATGTATATTTGAAATAGATTTAAAAGTTTATAAATCTTATTTACTGTTTTATTGCTTTCATTTTAGAATATAATATTTATTATTAATTTAAAATACACAACAAATGGTTATTTTAACAGGAGAGATAACCAATTCAGATAATTTAAACATTTTTAAGAACAAGTTCGCTCGTTTAAAAATCAAAAATATAAATATAAAACAAAACTTATTTTTTAAAGGCTGTCAAAGTTTAACATCTACAGTTGTTAGCATAATATATTTATTATGCGTAGAGCAAAAGTTTATTTTAATAGATTATAATATGAATTATTAATTCTGTCGAGATAAAAAACTTGTATGTAAATAACTTTTTAAATTTTAACTTCCGTGATTCCATTATTGTTTGATTTAGTTGTGTTTCCATAATACCATTTTTTTAATTTCAAATATGGCATTATCAAAAAGTTTAAATATTTTTTGAAATCGTCTGCCTTCAATCCAAGATTTATAAGTTTTTTCTAAACTTGCCCAAAACTAAATTTGGGTTTTTAAACTAGAGTTTTCTATTTCTTAGGTAAGTTACCTTTACTAGAGTTTTAACGTCAGTTTATCGTTTAATGACAATACTTTAACATCATGGTCACGAGTTATTATAAAAAATAATAATAAATATACCAATTAACAGCATCTTTAATTATTTCCACAACTTCGCTAAAAACATCTTTCTGTTCAATGAAACATTTATGAACAGCTATTAATTGAACTATTACACAAGTTTTTAAATTTATTCCTTCATTGGATTGGTGAAACTTTATGACATTGTGAATACTTCGAATATTAGCTAATTTAAGAAGCATTTCTTCTTGAAATGGAAAGAAATATGCTAAAGAAGGGTTTTGGTAAAAAGAAAGTGAAAAAATAAAAAGCACTAAACAAATAATAATATTTTATTTCTAATTAAAATTAGAGAGAAAAATAAAATTTGCAACACTATTTAACAAAAATATTTTCAAATTTATGTAATGTTTAAATAAAAATTATATTTTTCACATTTTATTCTTGAAACTTAAACACTCTTTAGAGTGGTTCTGTAAAATAGTTCTCTCCCTAAAGTAGATATCTTTAATTTTTAAAAAAGATTTCTTTAAAAACTAAAGATATCTGTTATAATTTTTAGCATTTTAATTTAGTCAACTCTCAAAGGTGGCACTTAAAGACTCAAAAAGTTGTCAAAATTGACTTAAAGAATTAAAGTATTTATACCTAAGGTATTTAAATTTTAAATATTTTAAATCTTTTTGAACATAGTGGTATAAAGCAGATTAAAAGTGATCTTCAGCATAAAAGATTGGAAATGCTATCTTTGAATATATGATAGAACTTTTTTTATATATAAAATAGCGCTCTATGCGATAGAGTAAAATAGGGTCAAATAGAATTGTTAAGGATTTTAATTATTAATTTTTACGAAAAAACGAATCTTCTTTTTTTTTTTTTTTTTTTTTAAAGTTGTAGAGAGTATTAAGCTGTACCTAAATATTTAAAAATTTTTTAGAAAAGTTTTTTATGCAACTTTATTTGATTAAAGAAAAAATTATTCCATTCATTTGGGGAGAATGAAAAATGCAAATATTAGTATAATTAAAACAACACTTTATTGAAAAAACAAAAAGCAATCAAATTATTCAATATTTAATTAAGAGCGAAAGAATAAACATTGTCATAACTATTTCATTCTACCCGTTATTTCATGTTTACCCTATTTTACTCTATTTCATTAACTTTTTTCTTCTTTTTTTTATTATTGCTCTGGCAGGTTCTGATCACAATAATTTTAACATCTTTTAACTTAACCAGGAAAGTAGTTATTTTGATTACTCTATATTTATATGGTGAAAGTTTTTTTTTTTTTAAAAAAAAATGTATTTCTTAAGTCTCAAGGCCTCCTTTAAGACCTTTTTATAAACCATTCACCATAGTATCATACACCATAGCAAAAATAGTTTGAAAAATAATTACATAAAACACAAATGTTATTTACAAATATAAACTCAAATTTAACTTATTAATAACTACATTATTAATTTTAAAATTCAAACTTATATTTGTGTAGCGGTTAGAGCTATGGCTCAGAACCAAGTTTCGATGTTTGACGCCGACTCTTGTCCAATAAGCAACATCGATAAGGAAGGAAGTGCTCCTCTATGAAAAAAAAAACTGAAAAGATAAATAGGATATATTTTTTTTTAATTATTTAGTGAATGGCTTGATAGAATTACCAACGCGAATGAATTATCAAACGGCGCAATTGAGTTACAGAAAGAATATTTGCGAAAAATCATTTACAATTCTTAAAAACAATTTATATGTAACGCAATAATAATTACATATAATGTACAAGTAATAGCAGGGTATTGGAAATAATTAATTTTTTTCAAAACGTTCAGGTTGACGAGTGTTTTCTGAGGCGAAGTTTGACGCAAAATTCGATACTGGAAAGATATGGCAGCGAGAATAATGATATAGGTTAGAAAAGTGCATTTTTTCAAGATATGTATAGCCACTGCCTTGATTTTTGGCCACTGCCAAAGTTTAAGGCAGCAGCCAAAAAGATCTACTGCTATAAACTTTGAATACTAAAGTCCCAACTTCGGCGTCTGATAACTGTTTTAATAGGATTTTAAGGTTGCTGAACTGAATTCTGCAGTCGTTTCATACATACAGAGTATGACAATGCTGATATTGTAATAATATGGACTATTTGCTGTTGAAAACAATGAGACGTTAATAAAATGTTTGATCGACGATTTGTAACTCGACTTCCCCAGTAAAATATTTTTGTTAATGGTTTAATTTTTTTTTTTTTTTTTTTGAAGACGAAAAACATTATCCTCTTCAGAAAAAAAATTATTAAACCATTAACAGAAATCAACTGAATGAACTACGAATTCTGGAAGCTGTGTAAAAATCATAAACTCAAAATGCTTTAGTATCAATGACATGAACAAAAACTTACATGTAATCACTTCTCACAGGACTAAACTGAGTAGTGTATCAATGTTGTTTGAGAGTTCATTTTCTGATTTTATTACGTTACGAATGGAACATCTTAAAAACGAATGGAAACTCACTTTAAAACGGTAACTATTAATAAATAATTTGTTTGCGAAACATGTAGTAATACTTGAGCTGTTTAAAGTATGTTAAAGTTAATTTATTATAGAATTATTTTATTTTCATATCTTGAAAAAGTAGACAAATGTAATGAATTAATTATATATATTTTTGTGTCGATATGCATTGTGGATCATTTCGTTTATTTATTTATAGAATAAAGGTTTAGAAGTAAACTAGATCATAATCACAAAGGTGATTTTTTTTTCCATTTAGATTTTTTGATGTTTGAGATACCAAACTTACTTTTATTTTATATAATAAAAGTTGACGGTAGACGAAATGATTTTTGATGGAATTAAGCACAAAAACATAAAATTAAATTTAAATTAGTGAACTTTCAAACATACCGCACAGTCCAAATATTTATATTTTTATACTTATGCAAAATAAAAATGCTTTGCATACAAATAGGATGATTGGACCTTGGGAACAAAAACCCGTAAAATTGTTGCGACAGCTCTCCCAAACGTGAGAGCAACAAATTGACTAAACATTTTTTTTACTATTTTCAACAAAATTTAAATTTATTGAAAAGAATTTAAATTTCATACAATAACCTCTTAGCGTTCATAGACTTTTTAAAACTTGCAAACATCTTAGTTCATCAATTGTAAAATTCACCACTTTGAATCTTCCAGAATTAAGTTTTACTCGTTGTCACTCTTTGATTTCAGGTGCTATTGTCAGACGTATGCACAAAATTTCATCGATTAACTCCCGCACACTGCTCTAGCTTCAATCATATTTATTGGTTCTTGGTTTGTCTATTCTTTTCTTGTCAATTCTATTTAATTCCAATGTAGGAAAAATAACCATTTCGTCTACTTTTGCTTTCACTTTTGAACAGAGAATGAACAAACCGTTCTATTTATAAACTGATACGGCTAATACAAGATTGTTCAGGTTTTTGCCCACAGTCGCTTCAAAAAGGTTTTGGATTGATTGTCTCCTGGTTATAAACTCTTTCGCTATTTCAGTAATCCACACAAAGCGTTGTGTAGTAGCCTACAAATTCTTTGAATTAGTAGGCTACCACACCCTCAGATCCCGAATGGGAAATATTGCCCGAAGTCAATATATTATCGGGACCACTGATTGTGATGTGGTTAAGTCCGCTTTGACACCGTACAATATGAAGCGGGCAGCATTGGTTGTATCGTCTAGGCCAAAGATAACAACATTATTTGCGTTTTTATTAAGAAGATAACTTGCCGCCAAGTGGAGATCGAGATAAGTTGCGTTATCTAAATATCTACCCATAGTCCATGCCGAGGGGAAACCCTAGATAAAATCACTGGTAAAGTAACGTTTTTTTAGGTTGTCGCCGATTGTGCTCTTTTCCATCTCATCTGACTCTAAATTTTAAGTTCTTCAACTAGCCAATCGCTTTTCCCTTCTTACTAGTTTCTCTATAGCCTTCCGCTTTTTCTTATTTGACTGATGTCTTCCCTCGTTTCTCTTTACTTGTTTTTTCCATTTCCATAAATCTATCGATGTACAAATTGCCAAGTAAGACCCGTAAGAATTGTCAAAATAAAATGCCTCGAGTTCATCTGCCATTTTAATGCCGAATAACTCTTCCAATTTCCATTGGTATGTCATATCTTTTGTTCTAATATCGTAGATTCTACTTGTTGAAATCTTAAGCATTCTGTATTCATTGAATTTTTTTCTTGTAACTTGAATTTTTATGTTGTTTAACCAAAGTCATAAAAGTTCGGCACTCGTCTTATCTTCATGGTTATATTTTGTTGACACAGCGACGTCAATAAAACATAGCCAAGTAGATTGGCGTTTTACGTTAACGTTCTTCAATATCCAGTCGTCGAATAGTTCATGCACCACTATTTTTCTTGCATTATTTTATGAGAAAACTTTAGAATCAGGTTTCTCTGATCACATGCGCATCATCTATACAATTAAATGCACATCACCTTGTAACTGAGACTTACCAATAAAAGTCGGTTCTTCTCTATACACTAACCCCGCAATGTTGCAAGTTACAGTATCGCTTCTAGTTGTGATGGCACAGTGGATTGTTGTGCGTCGAGACCTCATACGAAAAATCAGCGCTAAAACAATGGGATTTTATGAAAAAATGTATATATATTATGTCTTGTATAAATAATCTACAATATGTAGGTTATTTATTTATATACATACATTTATATATATATACAATATATATATATATATATATATATATATATATATATATATATATATATATATATATATATATATATATATATATATATATATATATATATATATATATATTATATATATATATATATATATATATATATATATATATATATATATATATATATATATATATATATATATATATATATATATATATATATATTTAGACCGAATATACTCGTGGTCACATTAGCCTCTTAGTAATCAAGTACGTGCACACAAAAGTGCATGTCTACCTTCGCAACTATTTACTAAGTTTTAAACATTTACCATTTATTTCTGCGATACTTTTAAACAGGAAACAAATTTCTATAACATTTGGATTCAGCACACAAGAAAACATATAGAATGATATGTGTGTTAATTATTTTTTTACCAAGTTTTAGCAGCCAACTTTAAAAAAAAGCAAATTTCTAACTGATATTGCAGAAGTTCTTTCAGATTTAAATTCAGTGCCTTAAAAACAGCTCGTTATAAAAAAACTTTCAAATTTGTCCG